ACTCACCGTCATGGACAGCACTGTGTCTGCAGTGGGGTCATTCAGGTTCCTGGGCACCACAATCTCTCAGGACCTGAAGTGGGACAATCACATTGACTTAATTGTTAAAAAGGCCCAGCAGAGGTTGTACTTCCTTCGCCAGCGCAGGAAGTTCAACCTGCCACAGGAGCTGCTGAAACAGTTCTACTCCACCATTATTGAATCCGTCCTCTGCACTTCAATAACTGTCTGGTTCAGCTCAGCTACCAAATCTGACCTCAGAAGACTGCAGAGGATAGTCCGGACTGCTGAGTGAATCACTGGTACAACCCTCCCTACTCTCCAAGAACTGTACTCATCCAGAGTGAGCAAAAGGGCTAGCAAAATCACTGCCATCTGGTAGGCGCTACAGAGCACTGAGCACCAGAACGGCCAGACACAGGAACAGTTTCTTCCCTCAGGCAATCCATCTCATGAACATTTAACAATAAACGTGGAACACACAACACTATTATACATTATTTATTTAACAGTCTTTATGAGTTTTATGAACTATCACCTAAAGACTGTGTGTATTTACCAGTTTTGCCTGTATTCTTCATTGATGTCTTGTTGGATGACTCTGCATCAAACCCGTCCAGCGTGAGTTCCTGGTATTCCATCGAGACCTTTGTGTCTTGATCGGCTATATTGATCGGCGATTGGTTTCTCTCCTGACACTCAGGAAAAGTTGCCGCCCACCCTGTATCTGGTCCGTACGTCCCTGCAGAAGAGAAAGACAGCAAATCAATGGATCATCGCACTGTAAACAGAAGCAGAACCGCTCCCAGACTCACTTTATTCTTCATAAATGCCAGTCAAAAAACGTTAGAGCTGTCCTGAGACAACCACCTGTCTGTCTGTCTCACGAAAACGGAAAAGCTTTATGAATTGACAAAGTAGTCACACTTTAATCCAAGACATTTGTAACACCCAGACTAAAGCAGACGTGATTTATTTATTTATTTTACATTCTGCTGAGAAGTTTATAAGCACTCAGTAGAGACAGATATAGAAACAGTTTATGGTTACCAGTGGCAGCACAAGACTCTTTTCACTGGAGACCCAATAAAATTCTGCTGTGACCCAGTACATTTTTGCTAATAACTTAATTTTTTTCTTAGAAACCTAAGATGGAACCTCAGATTTCCTCAAAGGTTATGTCAGCTTGTTGACAGAGAGAGACTGACCAAAAGGTAGCTAACTACCACTTGCTGTTCATTGATATACCATTGCACACATGACACAAGTCGATATCTAATTAGCTAGCGATGGTCATATTCACCAGTAACAGCATGCTGAGCAAACACAATGCCTCAAAGTTTAGTAGGCCCAAGGCGCTAAATATGATGTGAATGAATGTAGTGGGATAGATGCAGTTCAGTTAATGTGTAAAAAGCAAACTATCAGTTCACTTTCTGCCAATGGGAAGGTGAATATCACCTGTAAAAATATGTTTAGGTTAGTTATGCATAAAAGTACAGAGCACCACACAAGACATGCGCAAGAAAAAAAAAAAAAACAGACCTTGTGGCCATGGACTGAAAATTTTTCCATGACTTACTGATTTGCAGCCACATTTTTATTATTTGTTCTCTTGTTTTAGCTGAATCATGACCACATTGTATTAATTCATTCCGGCAATCATGGCCACATTTTAATAATTTGTTGCCTTGATTTAATTTCTTTAAAATTTGACTACATTATGCCAATTCGTTCCCTCATTTTAGTTTTGTTAAATCATGGACAATGGAACGATTTAGTTAAATGTGGCCATGTTTCAACTAAAACAAAGGAACAAATTAATAAGTCATGAGAACAAATTCTTAATTCGTGGCCTCTATGTCATCAAATTCCGTCAGAAATCTCAGAGTAATCTTTGATGACCAGCTGACATTCAAGAACCACATTGCAAAGACAGCTCGATCATGCAGGTTTGCATTACACAACATCAGGAAGAGTAGGCCTTTCCTAATGGAGCCTGCTACACAACTTCTTGTCCAGGCCCTTGTCATTTCTAGGCTAGACTACTGCAATGCTCTTCTGGCTGGACTCCCATCATGCGCAATCAAACCTCTACAAATGATTTAGAATGCAACAGCATCACTGGTCTTCAACGAGCCCAAAAAGGTCCACGTCACATTGCTTTTTATCTCCCTGCATTGGCTACTGGTTGCGGCTCGCATAAAGTTCAAGCCATTGATGCTTGCATACAGAACAGCCACGGGCTCAACACCCCAGACTTACGAGTCTGACCCAGAGCCTGAGATCTGTAAGTGAGCGACGCCTGGTGGTATCATCACAGAGAGGCTCAAAATCACTTTCCAGAACATTTTCGTTCA